TTCAGTAATATACCAAGTATAAAAAGATTATTAAGAAAAATTTTGTCGTAAAACATTGATATGCGATATGTTCGAGAACGATCTTTAAGATAATTGCGAGAAATATCCACGTCTCTTAAGATATTTCTATAAATAGAAAAACTTCAAATTTTGCTATTATTTTATTTCCATTGCAGAATATAACTAGTTAATTTTGAAACATATTAAAATCATTTTAATATCTCAAAAAAATTTTACTTGGTCTATACTACTTTCTAAAATGCTTTCACAAGTTTCTTAATCTATTTTTCAACAAAATCCCGTCCCTCCTCCACACGTGTAAAATTTTTTTTCGACTCAAGCTCTACTTTTAAGAAATTTTCGTGTATTAGTACTATTTCTTTAATCCATAAAATAATTGCGCTTGCGCTCAAAGGAAGCTAAAACCCGACTGCGTCATATTAACATTATTCATCTCAAGCACAATGCAGTTGTTACAATTGTGTCGAATATTGCGTGCAACTAATTGAACAGAGGAACCTCAATGGAAATCTCGAGTCAAGCGAATAAATTCAATGTTGGAACGGGACTAATCCTGTGAAAATGCACAATCCTGTGAAGCAACGAAACTCGTCAAGTATCATGTTGGTAAGAACGTTAGACGTTTATCTCTTATTTGTACACGTAAGTATACATTTCCACTCGCAAATTATTCAAATGGAGAAATCCAACTTTGTTACAACTACATGCACAGATGTTCTCTAAGTTGATGATTTTACTTTTGAATAAAAATCTTACTTACACATACATGTATTATACAAAATGGAGAATATCTCTCCCAATTTTATTCACAGATTGCAACACATAAAAACTAAATTCATTTAAACGCAATAAATTAAAGTCGTAAATTATTTTTTGCTGTAATTATGATGTTAAAATTATATAAAAAAAAAATCCACATTTAAAATTAATAATTTGTAAAATTACTATATTTTAAATTTCATTTTCTGAAAGTAATGTAAGATGACAATATAAAATTATGAACAGAAAAAGAAAAAAAATGCAAGATGAAAAAGGAATGTAAGAAAATATTTAAAAAAAAAAAACAGAAATAAGATTGTTTGAAATAGATATTAAACTAAAGTGTTCAATAAAATAAACTAGTCAAAGAAAGTTTATGCTATAATAACATCATTGACAGACAAAATTTATAAATTCAATTATAAATTAAAATTTATATTATGGTAACATACTGTTACAGATAAATTATTCCAAAAATTGTATATCTTTATTATTATCAGTTTTAAATTAAAATTAAATAATAAAGAGTTGAAAATTACGTTCTAACGCGTTATATTATAAGCATATTTGCTAAAACTACAAAATTGTTTGAATAGTATCGCAGATAGTGCATTATGCACGAAACATATAATTACAGTAACACAATCGATTCTGCCTTGTTATTTCTTTGATTATCGGACGAAGTATAAAAATCACAACCTTTGATTTGCCGCTTCCTTTCGACAAATCGCGATAAAACTGGCGGATAAATGTTTGCATGGCAAAGATACATCAGAAAGAGGAACGACAAAGAGGAATAAAGGGGAAACAGTCATCGTTCCAAAAAGATAACACGAGAAAGTCATTCACGGCAAGGATCATGATATCGATGCGCGCAAACGTAACACGCAGCTTTATAGTGTTCTATGAAACGCTATGGAAATTTCTGTATGTTTAAAAGGCAAGCCACGTTGTTTACGAGTTACTGAATTAACTAGCCGGGTGATATCTAATCTCCGAAATAAATCTATGGCAACTGATGATCGCTCGATTTATTCTGCGCTCAATTTTCACGATTTCGGCGAAACATCACGAAGAAATCGGCGAAGCCGCGCCGTGAAACAATGGAAAGCAAATTGTTCATGCGTTATTACAGGATGAATAACACTGTTTTGTCGCGCGGCTTGCTGTAAATCGATTACATTTCATTTCTCCCGTTGCTTTTATAATAATATTTACATCATTAATTATCGACGAACATCGTAGCGAAAATATTATGCAACAGTTGAGCATGTCACGTGTACAAATTCCATTCAACCGCGTTACGTAAAACCATAATGAAAATGTAATATACATATTTCTCAAACGAGTTTGTTTCCTTAATTCGATGTGCAACCGAACGGATCACTCACAGTCGTCTGAATATTGTTCCAGATTTTTTTACTTTGTATACTGTCTTTGGACTGAAAAGATCAGAGGAAATAAACACGAAACAAAAAATGACAATGAAATACGATGTCATAATCCACAAATTGTCGCAAAACGGACGCCAGTTTTCGAGCAAATATAACATCTCGAAAATTCGACGTATAATGTCGTTGATGAAGGTTCCCATTTATATTCCACGACCGTATGATCGCTTAACGTGCGTCGTAACGGCTCGCATAAGTACTCGCGGCTCACACTGTCGACCATTTATTACTTGCACGATCGTTTGAAACGTTTGCGTGATCAGTGACCTGTTGGAACTGCATCATTAGCTAAGACGAACTGTGTGGTTCCATCGACAAATTCTCTGCTCGTCGACGATTACGTGGTTTTGTTTGAATTATATCTGACTGCAAAAAAAAAAAAAAAAAACAACCGTACGTTTTCAAATGTTTCGATTTATTAACGAGAAACGAAAACTATCGCACATACACTGTATGAAAACGAGGTTAAAAATGTATATACCTGTTATTCTGACAATTATAACTAATTATTACATTGCCGTTGCGTGTACAGTTACTTTTTCGTTACTGTGATGTGAAATGATCGGTTACGTCTATCTGCAAAAGGTACTATTAACATGTGCGTAAGATTTTTAAAAATAAATTGAGGATAATAATGTGCAAATTAATCTGCCGTATGTTTAGTGTGATAAACAAGTTTTTTCTCACTTGCGATTCATTCGTGTGAAAATTTTTATTTTGAATCATAATAACGTTAGTTATTAAATCTTCTAATATTTTATTTTACTTATTATGACAATGCATTGCTATTGTATTGCATATTAAAGTTAAATGTGGCGTGACCACATGTTATGTTATGCTTCCATTATTATGTTAAACAAGATATATATATATATATGCCTGATATTATTAATTAGTAATATAATATCAAGAAGCATCATACTTAAATTTATCAAAATTATCCAAGAACGATCAATTATATGTTTAATATTTTCATAAGTTCGATCCATAAAAGTAATGTGGAAATAGATGTAACGTAGTTGTTAGTAAGATAAACATAGTTATATGTAGATATAAATATTGATATAGTTCTTAGAAATGTAGCAGGAATAGAATGTTTGTTGTTCTTCATTGTTATCCTCTGTTGACTTCTGAGGTATACGTTGTATGAGCGTAAGGAAATGGGTAGAAATCTAATTCACCTTCGAACTAGTACAGAGTACAGATTGATTATACCGCACATAATTCAAGGTAGATCAACTTCTGCGCAGAGACGTCACTAGCATGTATGTAGTTACATGTACAAGTTGGATTTCGTATAAAATTAATTACCTTTTTTATTTGAAGATTACTTAATTATTACTTAATTATTAAGATTCAGGAAATTACAAATTTGTCATTGAAAAAAATATTGGATTATTTACTAATGAATAATAAAACTGATGACACGAAATATTTGATATATGATATAAATATCGTTTTTGTTTCTTATATCTGAATTTATTTTTTATATCTGCATCAAATGACGTACACGTGAATAAACATTACACAGTTTCGAGACGTACATTTCATAGAAATGAGAAATCTTTGAATAATTATAAGTATTCAAAGCAGAAGCATTGAAACCAATTACACAATTACATTCCACTGTAATCGATAGTATACTGTAATTACAGACTGATTAATCGTTGTTTCAATACATTAGAAAACAAACTTATGAATAAATTAAAGCTACCATCAATTAATTCGCGACAACAAGAAAATTTTTAATGTGTAAAATACGACTTTTAAAATTGTTATATTATACTTTTTAATTTGTAGAATATTTTAAAATCATTATATTTTACGAACCAGAAGTCACACATTTGTATTGTTAATTTTAATATTTTATATTTCCTATATATTTCGATAATATTTTTTATTTTTAATATTAGTTATTTGCGTTTTACAACACACTGAATATTAATCTAATGTAACAATTCATAAATATTCTTTTTCAAAAAATATACAATAGATATGATTGTAATTTCCGAGATAATGAATTATTTTATTGACAATTATAATAGAAAAAAAAAATTGAGTGCATTATGTGTTTATAATATTTACAACGTTTCATTTTATCACGATAATATTTCGAAACAATATTCAGTTTTTACAAATAGTGAGAAATTTAAAGAAATATTGGCATATTTTATGCATAGTATGAAATAAGCTCTTGTTCAATGATATAAATGCATAAAAACGGTTTACGGAAACGGTGATCTCGTATTTCAAATGGTAGTTATTGAATTTCATTGCTATAAAATTCTCCACGATATTCGAGTTCAAGTGTGCGAAGACTATAAATGTTCGATGTATAAGTACATTTTAAAGAACAAATAACGCAGCTGCGGCAGATATTTATGCTTTTCCCGAACTATTAATTAACCAACGTATTACTCAAAATGATTGTACCTGATGATAAAATCGTATGCTGAAAATTCATGGAATAGGAAAGGAACTTGTTCATTATATTCACAGCCATTAGATTACCTATCATTATAATATCAACGATTTTAGTGTATAATTCCGTATGAAGTCAACAGTCACTAAATATAGTGCCGCAGTTATTCTGTTTATACAATTGTTAAAGGTAGTAACGACACGGTACAAGATTAGTAATACCGAGAAAAATGATACGCAATGAGTCAAGTAGCGCGCCTTATGGTCACGTGACTGGCGGTTCACGTGACTACGACGAGGTGCGCGATGATTGGCCGAACGGCGGGCGAACGATCGCATATAGAGTGGCGCGAGACAAAAGTCGTAGTGCAAAGCGTCAGCGTTCAGTGAGCTGGTTCCGTGTGTGACCTTGATCCCCTCGCGAGTTCTGTGACAGCCTCGTTCGACACAAGAAGCCGAACTCGTCAGTACTGATCGAATCATCGTTGCAGCAGACACTTACCGCAGCGGTTTTTCCACACCAACGCGACAAAACGAAAATGAAAATCTTCGCTGGAGCTCTACTTATCGCGGCGTGTTTCGTCGCGTATACGCACAGCTTCCCCGGTGAGTACATAATTTTGTGGTTATGACGAAAACAGACAAAAATCCGGAGTTCTCGTTGCGACATAAAAATTCGAAGGAACAGCTTATTCGGGTGACAGATGGATCGGTCATGTTTGACGTTTGATCGTTACTGTCTTTGTTCCTAGAATATTTTTCGAAATTAATTTTCTCGGCGTTATACCGAATCGAATTCGATATTTTTGATTCGCGGTTAAACAACTCAAATCTCTCAAAAAGCACGAACAAATGTATAAAGGTGCCGATAGATTTCCTTGGCAATTGTTAAGGTCATATTCGTGATCTTGTCGCGTGACGACTGAATAAATGCTGTTCCGAGCGAAAGGAGCATGCGTGCACGGAGTATTACGTATAGGGGGCGAAATGTACACAGGTAAGGGTATAGGGTGCTTGGAAAGTTTATCACAGCTGTTCGACTTTTTAGCAATAATTTGTTCCTTCTTCTCACCAATGTTAAACAATATTATCAGAGTGGTAAAAATGATTCGTAATTTTTCGTAAAAATTTTATGAATTCAAGGCTTTATTACGTATCTATAAGGTTTTATTAACGTATCTGTTATTCGCATTTGTTGAAATATTAGGAGTTTTAACCTCCTGCGTTGGAATGACGTATCGAGAATATTTGGCCCAAAATTGCAATATTTTCTCAGTTTTAAATATATTGAGATATAACCCAGGCAAAACAAATAACAAATTTATTACTTCTCAATAATTTCTATTCAGTGATATCATACCGATGAGTTCGAAAAGAAAGCGACAAATTTTATTGTATACGGTTCGGTCACTCGTTATGGTCCGCGAACCAATTACTAGCGCAAGAGGTTAAAATCCACGATAATGATAGAATATAGAACATTCTAGAATATGTTAAACGAAACAATTCGTTTGGAATTTGCTAAAAATATTTTGCGATGAACTGGTCGCGTGTGATTCATCATAACAAACATAGTAACATGAATTCCAAAACAAATCTTCGATCGCGATAAATCGGTCAAAGGATATCAAAACAAGCCCATCGTGAACCAGTTAGAAAACGTTGTTTTCCTTGCTACCAATGACACGTTCGATATTCAATATTTATTCCGTGTCTTTGGAAACTTCTCGAAACATTCAACTATAATACAAGGTGTCTCAAATTTGAATGTCAAAACTTTGGGAACGTATAAAAGATCGACAAATTTTAGAAATTTATTCGTTTTTGCTCCATTTTACAGAAAATCACCAAAAAAAAGAACAAAAAAGTTTTCGTTTTCTCTATTCAATAAGTGTATTCGATGCCAATAAGAGCAACTGCAGTGCACTAAACATCACAAAAACAATGTTTAACTAGAATCGGAATAGTCAATGTTCAATGCAATATTTGAATTGCTGTAAAAAATCATTTTGAACAGTATATTCATTAAATAGATGATATTGATAAATAAGATAATATGAATGATCAAATAAGTAATAACATGAAGAAATTTAAATAAATAAGAGTAAAAACAAAAATTTTTGTTTCTTGTTTCGCGATTTTCTACAAAACCGAGCAAAAGCGAGCAAATTTCTAAAGAACTTTTTTTTTCAGTTTATTAGTTCCTCACACACTCCGCTGCCCGAAGTTTTAGCATTTAAATTCGGGATATCTTGTATAATATATGCACAGTTATATGATAACAAGTATACTCTGTATATTAAAGAAAGATAGACTTAGATGCGTGAAATTTTTCCAGAACACAACATGGGAATATTGAAATAAAAATACATAATAACACCATAAATCAAGCATAACATAGATGAATTCATATATATTTTATATAAATAAAAAGTTTATAAATTTTATTTATAAATGAAAAGTTGCCAATTTTTGCATTTTAGATTTTTAATATCTTTCATTTTTAGGAAACTTATAACGTTTGAGTATTGTAATATACACACACATACACACACACACACATAAAATAAAAATAATGGTATTATATAATGAATATAAAATATACATTGTATGTAACAGTAGAGAATGTGAATTAAAGGAGATAGACTCATTCGTAAAGAAGATCTCAAGAATTTCCTACGAATTTGATCAATAAATTTTTCACTCCCAGAATACGTAGGTGCATATATATTTGTAAACGGACTTAACTTTTCTCATAGTGGGCATTTTCGTGCCGAAATAGTGCCATCTTACCATAAAACTTCCCAAATCAAGAACTGCACCGGTCTGCTGTTGTTTTATACAGTTTTATGTGAAAAGTTGCACGCGGTATAGTCGTATGCACAAATACTCGTTTCCTCTTCCTTCTCTTGGAAGGCAAATTGGGAATATTGCCAATTGGCATATGTTTGCTTCATTTTCATTGCACAATTCGCGTCTTAATATCGCGTATGAATTAAACTTGCATGCTTTAAATCTTGGTTCTATCATTGCAATATTCTTTTGAACATTACGAAATTCAAATCTCATTCGAACAATTCTATCGTTCTTTTTTTGTAGAGTAATTTTCTTGGATATTAAATTTTAACCACTGGACGTAATTTAACACAGCCAAAAGTACCTAATAGTGTAAGTATTATAGAGGATTATTTGTTTAAACGACGATATCTTTAATCAGTCTGAAATGTTTTAAAAGTAGTATCTGAGATTATTTTATGATAAGATTATTTTATAATTAATGCGATTTTTCTGAGAATTCAAAAATTCATTTATCACGATAAAAGGGGAACAGAAAATATGATAGAACGTTGACAAATAATTGTAGAAAACAAAGAAAATTACACTGCTAATAATTAATGACGTTGAGAATTATCAACAGATAATTTTTTTTTTTTTTTAATATATACACAAAAAAATCGCATTTTTCATAATGTTAGTGTCAAACAAATTCATACTGTTATTTATGTAAATTCCAATTTATGTAAATGCCAATTAAAATTCGTTTATTGTAAACATTGAAAGTTAAAATAAAAATTTAGAAATTCAATGGATCAAAATTCAAAATTAAGAAATTCAATCAAATTTATAGAATTGAAGAATTACCATTGATTTGGAAATTTTAACTAATTATTTCCGGCTTTTTTTAACTTTGCGATGTTCTGAGAGATTCGATGGTTCAAGATATTCTGAATTCTTCAACTGATTCAAAAGACCTCGTACTCTTGAAAACTTTCTTTTAAGACTACCTTCGAGGATTACCATTGAAAAGTAGTGTGACTGGAAAAGTAGTTGTCTCGACTTTTACGATCACGGTCACATTTCATCCAAATCGAAGTGCTTTAAAATATGTACAATTTTTAGAATTCTTTAATTCTTTGAACTCGATTTGTTTTCAGTGTTGTTCTGTGTCCAGTTGTATTTATTTTAAGGTAAATTAGGTAAAATAATGTAGATACATAAAATTTAATTTTATCAGTTTTTTATTTATTTATTTATTATTATTATAATATAATTTATTTTCTATAATTTTTTAATTTTTATAAGTTTTTGATAATTTTTTCGATAGTTTTTATAAGTTTTTGATAATTTTTTAAACAATTTCTAACATAATGTGCTGATGTGCTATAGTTTATATTGTCACCTCCAAGAGTTAAATAACTTCTCCTAAAAGTAGTATCTTAACATCATCGCAGGTGATATCATGTTCTTATCATATGGCATACATAATTTAATATAATATTTCAACTTTCTATTTGAAGTATGAATAATATTTTCATCTAATTTATTATGTAAATGGAAGATATGAAAATTATGAAGAAATCAAACTTCTTTACATAATAGAACATAATTTTATGTAAACAAACAAAAACGTACGCTCTATTTAATCTCTTATGCATACAGCAATAATTGAATTAATTATAACGATGTTTTAATTTACAAAATAAGCGTAAATTATAAACGCATTTCCGCAGTATTGCGAAAAATCATCTCAAGCTCAACATTTCGAAAGATTGCTGTAGATTTTAATTTTCTCAATCCGGATAAAGGATAATAGAAGCTCCAAATAAATAATTAAAAAGCAAAAATAGCTGCCTTCTATTTAAAATTAAAATAGTTTGAAAGCTTGATTAAAACGAGTGATTAACATAAACAGCTTCCATTCTCGCACGTGAACCATCCTCGTTTCTTTTTAAGCCGATTACATCGTTATACGTATTCAAAGCCTAGATCAAGATCTCGTATCCGTCTCGACAGTTTATTCATTACCACGTTCTTTTTCCAACGTATATAGCACTAAATATAATTAATGGGATATAATATTATCGATACATCATAATAGATACAATAGATGTATTGATACACATATAATAAATACAATATAATAATATACTATCGTTATTAATTTAATAATTTATCACTGTTTTATAATTATTATAATATGACAATTAGTACAAAGATTAAATTTTTTCGAAAAAGATTATTTCACAATTGATATTAAGTTTAATCATATATTTGGATAATAGAATGCTGAATTCAGACAAAGCACTGCTTCTGATTTAACATTAAACGAAACAATTGTAGAGAATAGTTCGCTAAAAATTATCAATTTCCACTCTTACAAATAATATTGTTTAACTTAAATTAGATGATTTGTTACAGAATACAGTTCATAGTAACTTGAGATTATAATTTGTTGCTCTAGAACTCTAAATGTTTTTCTAGGCAAGAAAAGGTTTATTATTAAAATCTCTTTCTCGTAAAACCGCCCATAATACCAGCCAATAAAAGACAAAAATTTATGAAATACATTAATAAAATTAATTATAAAATTATTCTTATATATAATTATTCCTTAAAAATGTATTGTTTTCATTTTTTTTAAATTTCGAATTTGATCTACACGAGTATGATAATCGAATGACTCTGTGTTAACCTGACAAGAAAACGAAAAATAGTGTGATAGGATAATTAATAAGAGACTGCTAATTACAAGAGCAAGATAATTATAATTTGTTAATATAATATATAATTTTAATTGATAATTAAAATTGTCGCAAAAATAAAAG